AAAGACCACTGATCCTACTAATACTACTTATGGGCATTTATCCAGGGAAACTGATGTCATCACATAAGAGAGAGACCTGCATATACATGTTTATTACAGCACCATTCACTATTGCCCACATACCGCCTAGGTATCACCTGTCAACCTGTGAATGAAGAAAATATTGTACTTCAAACAACAGAGCAAAATTCAACCACAAGGAAAAATGATCTGGCGCCATCTGTAGGAAAACAGATAGTATTGAAGGACATGGTGTTAAGCAAAATAAAGCAGACATGTAGAGACACACAACACATGTGTTCTCATATGTGAAAACTAACAAAAAAAAGAAAAGAAGAATAAAAGAAAGTAAAGATGCTCTTAAAATCAAAGTTAGACAAATGAGTATGGGGAGGAGGAGAGGGGACAAGGGAAGGGAGAGAACAACAGAGGGTAAAGAAAAGATGAATATCAAAAAATCTATGCAAATGCATATGCTAAAACTGTACAACAGCCAACTGCTTTGTACAATTAGTACGTGCTAATTATTGCAATTATATGATAAAATAACAGATCCATTTAAAATTTTCCTCATTCTGGAAGATTATGCACACAAATAAAAGGAGTTAAGATGGAATTACCCTGGGACAAGAAAATCTACTAGATAACACAGGGTATCAAATAAAAATGCCAGTGCCAGGAATGGGTTACCTCTTTTGGAGTTTGAACTGGTTTGCTTTCTGTCACTAAGATACATAAACATGAAGACCAAATTAAACTTGGGGAGGGAATAATTTATTTGGTTTACATTTCTGATCATAGTCTATCACTGAAGCGAGCCATCAGGAATTCAAGCTGGAAAAGTGGCAAGAAACATACAAGAAATCTGCTGGCTAACTTGCTCCTCCTGCCTTGCTCATCTTGTTTTTTATATAACCCAGACCTCCTGCCCAGGGATGACAATGCTCACTGGGGGTTGGGCCCTCCCATGTCAATTGTTAAAAAGAAAATGTCCACAAACATGGCTCCAAACAAGTGTGACAAAACTCCTTGATTGAGGTTCCCTCTTCCTGGAATCTCCAGTTTGCATCAAGTCGACAAAAATTCACCATCACAGCTGACCCCTTGTCACCCTGACACAGACAAACAGCGTTATTCAGCCATAATCTTTCCTTTATGGTTCATCTCTAAGATCTCATTAAGATCATAATATAAACCATAATACAACTTTTAAATAACCAACTTTTGTTATTTACATTATGGAGCATAACTCATCTGCTAAAAACAATGACATCATGAAATGCGCTGGCAAATGGATGGGACTAGAAAAGATCATCCTGAGTGAGGTAACCTAAACCCAGAGAGACAAACATAATATGTACCCATTGTAAGTGCATAAAAGGATGACTATGCTACAATCCACAGTGTCAGAGAAGCTAACTAACTTTCCTGGATTCACAAAGATAAGATATGTGATGGAATATTTTCGCTGAATTTGTCAAATGCAAATGTACTAGACATTGTTGATGTACTTATTGTCTGTATATATTGTATATATTTATTTTACTTATTGTATATAGTTTTTCTTCTTTAGTTATAACTTTTTTATATCAGACAAAAAAGAGGAAATGTGGTGATGCTTTATCTGTGTATCCAATAAAGCTTATCTGAGGATCAGAGGAAAAAGCCAGCCACTATGTTAAACATGGAAGTCAGACAATGGTAGCTTACTAACTACCCCTTTAATCCTAGCATTCAAGAGGCAGAGATTCATCCAGATCTTTGTGGTTCAAGGCCACACTGGGAGCAGAGCCAGGTGTGACGGCGCATGCCTTTAAATTCCAACACTAGTTAATCATAGAGGTCTGGAGGTCTCGACAGACAGACAGGAAGTGATAGATCTGGGTGGAAAGAGAAAAGTGATGTAGCTGGGTGGAGAGAGGAAGTGAGATGGCAAGCAGAGAAAGGATATAGGTATGGGTATACAGGAAGTAGTTCTCTCTGGGAGCTGAGGAGTTGGTAAGATGAGGTTGGCTGTGGCTTGTCCTATTCCTCTGATCTCTCAGTTTCCACCCTAATATCTGGCTCTGGGTATTTTATTAATAAAACTGTTTAGCAATTCCTCTTATAAACCTGGGATGATAGGGGCTTACAGAGACTGAACCAACAACCAAGGAACCTGCATGGACTGACCTGGGCTCGTTGCATCTAGGTTACAGTTGTGTAGCTTGGTCTTCTTGTGGAACTCCTAACAGTAGGATCTGGGGCTGTCTCTGACTCTGCTGCCTGCTTTTGGGTCCATACTCCTCAGACTGGGTTGCTTCCTCCAGCCTTCACAGGAGAGAAGGTGTCTAGTCTCTCTGCAAGTTGGTATGCCATGGCTGCTTGATATTGGTGGGAGACCTGCCATTTCTGAAGAGAAATAGAGGAGGAAGAGTAGGTGTGGGGAGGGGGAGGGGGAAGGGAGGGAGTAAAGGAGAAGCGGGAGGGGACACTGGGGGTAGAGCGTAAAAACTAACAAATAAATAAATAAACACATAAAGAAATAAATAACAAAAAATGTTCAAAGTCTTTTTAACATAAGTAATGTCTTCTGTGGGTTTCTATAAAATCCAAAATAGTTACAAACTTCTATTTATTTTATTTTTTTATTTTATGCTTTTATTTTTATTTATTTTTTGATTTTTTTTGAGATAGAGTATGTCAGTGTAGCCCTGGCTGTCCTGGCACTAGCTCTGTAGACCTGGCTGGCCTCAAACTCACAGAGATCCTCCTGCCTCTACCTCCCAATTGCTGGGAACAAAGATGTGCACCACCACACCCAAACTTCTTATTCCAAGAGATAAGAACCAGGACACACTTAAATCAGACAAAGCAAATTCACAGTGCTTAGCCTCAGCTTCTTCCTGTTCCCTTCAGTCCTGCAGCTTCCTCTCTGCCAAAACCAGCATCACATGTCCAAGATGAGTTTCCAGATTGAAGTGAATCCCTGACCTACCTAGACCATAGTTTCTGTGTGCTGAATGTTAGAAGATAATTCCCATACGATTTGCTTCAGTTCAGCTACCCCTTATTCATTAAAGCTGATTCTTCAGCACCAACTAATCAGGATCATTTGTTCAATAAAGCAAAAGTTTCATTTCCACAGATTTGTAATTCAAAACATCCTGGGTCTCATAAGTTTGAGTCTGTGAGTGACCTAGCTGCAGAGTTTGTTCATGATTTCTGTTGTAATCTCCTGTTTGAGTTCCTGCCTTAATTACCGCCAATTATGGACTATGACCTGGAACGGAAGGCTAAATAGATCTTTTCACTTTCTCAGTAGCTTTTTCTCAGAGTTTCATCACAGCTACAGAAAGGAAACAGAACATCCAGCTGTCTGCACATTCTGTGTCTTCCATGACTTGACGTTCTTGCTGTTGCTACAGTTTGTTTTCTCCTCACTGACCCTGACCCTGTCCACAGCAGGGTCACCTGGAAGCCTTTGTCTTTCATTCCCTTTCTCCTCATCCTTTGTGAGTACAGTACACTGAGGCTTAAATGATCACATTGATTCAGTCTTCCCATCAGCTTCTCTGTTAGTTCTAAGATGGACATTTATGATTCAGGAGGGAATATATATTGAGAATTTACACATCCAAATCGTTAATCTTCATGGCCAAAAGCTTATCCCAGGTTAAAACTCTGCCTATACGGAATAGTGATATTAAATCAAGCAGATGTTCTGTTGTGGTTTCTGGATGTCTTGTAACTGGGAAAAGCCACGCCCACCCAGCTGAGGGTTTGTGTACTGGCTGCAGGTGTGTGGGGAGCACTGTGCATTCATAGCACAGAAATAAGTGCCTGAGTCTGTGGTCTGAGAGGAGGAAATGTACAGAGAGCTGCGACGTTCCTGAGTGACTGTTGTGGACGTCAGTCTTCCACTCTTCTTTGTTCCAGAAGGATTGTAAAACAGGCTCTTCAGGTGTCCCCCGGGACTTTGGTAAAACCACTGCATTTGGGTTGCAGTGGTGGAAAAATTGCACTGCAGCTCTGCATGCTCTCCCTCCTGCAGAACCAAGGACACAGGACTCTGCTCCACTTGTTGACCTTTCACCCCTGGTTAGAAACAGAGAAAGAGACACAGAAGGGGTCACTGAGCACCCACAGAACCCTGAACACACCCCATGTCCTCTGAGAAGGTGGGAGCTCTACAGGACTCCTGAGCTGCTTCCCCACCCTCCCTGTGCTGACAGAATCCTCTCTGTCCCTGAATGTGGACAGCCAGACTCACAGCAAACCTGGGTGCACAGCAGCCCCAGCAGAGAGCACAGCAGCCTCTCCATGGTGCTTGTGTGGCTGCTGGAGACAGAAGCAAGGAACCAAGGCCTGGGCTGTGGTGTCAGGATGGCTGTTGAATGTCCCTCCTCCTGCCACCAGTCAGCTCCACCCAGGAACCCTGCCAGACCAGACACTGCAGAGTTCCCTCCCAGCCTCCTGAGCCTGAAGCCCCTCCCAAACCAGACCTCCCTGAGAGTCAGGGCAGAGCATAGTGGAGGTGGCAATGTGGGGGAGGAACCTTTGGAGATGACCCTGGGGTTGTAGGGAGTTAGGAATCCAGGAAGCGGGACAGGACACCACATTGTCCAGCACACTCAGAGACACAACACTAGAAGTTTAACTCAGGAAACAAATGCATGTTCTAACTAAGGACACTTTACTGGAGCCTGAGGGTGGCTCAGCAGATAAGGGTCTTTGCCTTCCCAGGAGGCCTTAGTTCCATCACCAGCATCCACATGAGGTGGCTCACAGAGTCTGTATCTCAAGCTCCAGGGGACATGACGTTCTCTATGTTCTCCTCAAACCCTGCACACATGGGCCAGACCCACTCTCACACACATTTTTAAAAAGAATCTTCACCTGTGAAATATTGAAGTGAAATCACGGCAGTAAAAGAAAAAATGGGAACATAACAATAGAGTAAGGTGATGGTTTCATAGGTTTATAATGCATTTAAAACTGGAACACTCCTGCAACAGTCAGGGTTTGTTCTAAATGTTGTTTAAAATATGACCACGTAAGAAGGAAGTGGACTGGGGAAGCTAATGTGGGAGTCCTGCATCCAGAGTGACAGGGCAGCAGCCCTGGTGTGCTACTGCACGTGGTGAATGAAGGGGACAATGCACTTGAGTTCATAACAATGCACGAATGTATTTTAAGGTTTTCCCCATAAAGATGACTGCTGGAGAAATTAGACTAGTCATAAGAAATACACAATTGCCTCAATAATAACTCACAGCAATAGCCTTGCTTTCTTTGTACCGCCAGCTTCTGAATAATGACAGAGACTATCTTAAGTATGAAAGCATGGCCTAATGTTAGGCTTATTCCCAACTATCTCCTAAAACTTAAATTAACCCATTTATATTAAACTATGTTCTGTCATGTGGCTCATTACCTCTCCTCCATACTGTATGTGTGACTTTCTTTGCGTCTCACTTCTAATCCCCTGCATCAGATTCTTCCCAGAGTTCCTATCTCTGCCTGGAAGTCCTGCCTATCCTCCCCTACCTATTGGCCATTCAGCTCTTTATTAAACCAATCAGAAGATGCCTTAGACAGTCAAGGGAGGACAGAGACACATCTTCACACAGAATGATCAAATATTCCACAACACACACCCAACCTTACTCCATTTCAGCCCACTATTCTCTCGAACAGTATTAGACCAGCTAATGACTTCAAATACTGTAGGATAATTTCATAGAAATTTTGACTCAGGTGAAAAATGCTGTGAAAGACATTTTTTTCCTGAGTCAAAATTCTACTAAAGGAGAAATCAGACATTTCTTTGCAAAATGAGAAACAAATAATTGGCAACTGAGATCTATCCCATAGGAATGAAGCGTTTCTCAAGATTCCACTTTCTCTTTACTGTTGCATTTATGGAACATGCCAACTGCCTAAAAGTGTCTGAGGCTGGTACCCTGGTTATTTACTCTGAGGGTCTCAAGTTGCTTGTGTTCAGCTCTATACTTGTGACTCAGAACACAGGAGCACCCAACTCCCTCAGTCCCCCTGTCAGAGGATTCTCAGGTGGGAGGAGATTCCATCTTTCCTGTACTCAGTCTGAAATCCCTCCAAGCCTGGGACAGGCTGGCTCCTGGTGTGAGCTTCAGGAGGTGCTGGAGACCAAGGTGAGGGTATTACATATGCATGAAAGGACTCTTAGGGACAAGGAATGAGTAGCTGTTCCTCAGGGCCTGAGCAGTTACTGTAGCTGCACAGAAGCAGCCATCAGGCAGGGGCCCTGTCTGGGCTCTGCTTTCTCCTGCAGCATCAGTGCTGTGTAGGGATCTCAGCCTAAAGGAGGGTCTCTGTTCGCAGTGAAACAGCACAGTGCTCTTTCTATGGATGACACCCTAAAGCAGAGTGACAGTAGACAGTAGAGATTCTCTGAGCCTCAGGGTGCACAGAAGGTCACCAAGGTGTGAAGGAAGCAGTTCACTTTTTCCTGAAGATTCCCAGCAAGCAAATACAGCCTGAAGAGTTGGAGAGGTAGACAGAGAAGTTGCTCCAAGCTCTAACAGATTTAGATACCTTCAACCTAGGGACACTGGGGAGACAATCCAGAAGCGACACTGTCTTTCCCTTGGCCTGTCTCTAACATCTGCATAAAATATGTTCTGTCAGAACACCTACTGAATTACTGTAGGAGGTTTAAAAACAAATACCTAGTAACTTCATACATGAACATAATGTATTCCGATAGTATCCACCACCACCCTGTTCCCCCTACAACTCCTCCCAGAACCCAGTAAATTCCCCTCCCCTTGCAGAAGCCAGGAAACTAGAACATGGCCACAAGGGCCAGAAGAGAGAGCTTAAGAGAAAGCGGCAGGGTAGTAGAACACAGGTAATGTAATGTTAAAGGGGACAGGAGAGAGGGACGAAGCAGGGTAGGGGGAGAAGGAAGGTTTCTGTGAATTTATTCTAATCTGTGAAAACACCATTTACCTTTTAGAAAGGAGCATCCTCTAGGGGCCCATTTGAGAAATAACAGGTTCATAGCTGCAGTAGACTTCCTCCTGTCTTTGTTGACTTCTGAGTGTGAATCCAAGGCTTTCATCATGTACAAAGGAAGCCCAATGCTCTCTAAGTAGAAACTTGAGATTTTTAGAAAAGAAGAATATAAAGTTATGAACAAAAATGGGAGAATAAGATATTTTAGA